CCTCCACTGGACTGGCCTGTGGCCATGTCTGTGGGGTATTTTCTTGACTGTTGAGTGGTATGGGAAGGCCTAGCCCACTGTGGGTAGTGCCACCCCTGGGCAGGTGGCCCTGTGTTGGATAAGAGAGCAAGCTGAGCAGGGGCCAGAGGAGCAAGCCACTAAGCAGTGTTCCTCCATGGCTTGTGCTCCAGCTCCTGCTTCCAGGTTCCTGCCCTGATGGGGCAGGTTGGGCTCCCTGATGTACTGTGACCTGGGAGATATAAAGCTGAATAAATCCTTTCCTCCCCAAGTTGGTATTGGTCAGAGTATTTTGTCACAGCAATGAAGAGAACAAACCAGAACACTGAGCAAGCCTGAATCCTTTATTATGAAAACCTCTGAAGTAACATTCTAGAGAATGTAAATGTCTCTGGGGACACAGCATTGTAAATGACTGACACTAAAAGGCAACTGTAATTTAAAGAGCCCCTTCTAATGAACAAATGACCCATGAATAAACTTTATTATGTGCTACAAGAATTCACCTATTATGTCATGTATCGAAAGTCTGTTTTCATTTGAGCAATCTAAGCACTTACCTAGCATTCCCACATCACTGAAAGAACTCAGTTTAAATGGTTTCAAACTATACATGTAGGTATTTCTGCAGCATTTAAAGGAAGTCTCCTCAACTAGAATTTTGAGGCAGATAATTTAAGTAGCCATATACTAAGCAATACACAATCTTATTCCCATAACAAGCAGTCAAGAATGATCTTCAACCTTTACTTCAGCCTAGTGGAAACATTCTCCTTAATTTGCATATATTATATAAACACATGTTAATGAAGGCTTTCACAATCATAGAGACAGATATGTAGCTGTAACATGCCACATACATGTTAAAATACAACACCCTGAAGTTCAGTGTGTTGCCACTCAAACACCATGGTATATTTTACTCCACAAATGAGCAGTAACTGTAAATAATGCAATCACCTCTGTGTCTTACTCACCAGTTTGTAGAGCAATTAATCACAAAGTTTTAATCATTGCACACTTACTCAGTCTTGTACCCAGAACTGTGACCTATGTGGGCTGCAGCTGTGAGATCTGATTTGTGTGCACTGCAACTGCTACAGACAGCTGTCCTGCACCAAACGGTTTGCCTGGGCAGGATCAGCAGTAGTTTAGTGTAACCCTCCCCTCAGTGACCCAGGAAAATACCTTTTCATAGTAAACAATGCCATATTCTCTATCATCACACTTGACGCAGCGGAACTCAACCATTAAGTACATGAAATTAGAGCTTCGCTTTTCACTCTGAAAGAAAAATATAAAAAAGAAACACTGTAAGCATTTCTTAAAGGATCAGTAGGCACGGTTTTTACTCCAATTAGGTAATATATGCATCAGTCAACCACAACTTAAAACACACTATTTTTGCTGTTATCCACATGTAACATCCCGTGTAATATCCCATAGAGCAACCACTCTTATCCAGAAAGGTCTAGTGATCGTGGGACCATCCCCAAACCCAATAAAACTTTTGGTAAAGAAAGGTGAGTTTGTAATTATAACAATAAACCAAGGAACAGCTCACCTTTAAACTATATGACCAACCCAAATTCAGGAATTGGCAAAAGTGTAAGGAAGCCCAGGATGGTGGCACATAGCTTTACGCCAGCATTTGTGAGGGAGAAGCAGGGGCAGGCAGATCTCCATGAGACTGAGGCCAGCCTGGTCTACACAGTGAGGTCCAGGCCACCTGGGGTTGCAAGGAGACCATGTCCCAAAGAACTTTTTAAAAGTGTTAAGAAAAAGTAATTTTTTTAAAGTATGTAACTAAAGATAAGAGGCTTTGGTATAATTTTTATAAGTTGTTCACAATTTATAAATTCTCCTAAGATAACTTGTCATTTGTACTTTATATCCGCAGGAAAGTCTACAGGGAAATAGTCACTTCCTTCAACATAAACAGAAAATACATCAATTCTTTACATAAATATATTCTCACAAAAATAAAGTAAAAAGGTTTGATTGTCCGAAAACAACTTTATAAATGGCTTTAAACCCAGTGTATGACAATGACATCTAAAGAGGTTAAATTCTTTGACTCTCTACAGTACAGTCTGCTGTGGTAACAGCGCTGATTTCCCATCTGTTGAAGAGGAGATGGACCACTGACAATGGCTGAGGGAAAAAGCCCAACTCTATTATATTTTCTACACCTAACTGCACTGACCTAGAAGAAAAGAAAACCTAAGTATTTTGACTAGGCTATTTTTCTAATGTAACTATTATAAAAAGTGAGAAAGCTAAGCCTTCTGACAATTTGTGTAGAGAACAGGAATAAACTAGACAGGATCCCAGCTTCACACTCAGTATGATGTTAAGTGTGACCAGATTAATTCAAACAAGAGTAGCAGTGGCTCCTCCTGCTTGGCACCCATCATCATCACCTCTTTCCCTCTCTCCCTCCTCCCCCTTTCAGAACTCTAGAGGGTATCAATTAAGTCATGTATATGGTATAGTGGTCGCTATCAGGAAGACAGTGATCTTCTTAATTTGATTAATATAACTGCCATTTCTATTCTCTGCACACAAACTGTTAAAGCAAACATCTAGTATTTTCTAAAAACAAATACACAAAATACAACCCCCTTTTAAAAATGTAACTTTTGTAAACACTGTCATTGAAACCATCTCTTAATTAAGCATATTCACTGGCTCAGTTCCCAAGGTCAAGAAAACAATCAACTACACATAAAGCATAACTTTATTAAGGGGGCAGCATCCAATATGCAGTGACTATACAGATACTTGGACTTCCAAAGGTGGCATGTGGGACCACAGGGAAGAGGCAGCACTACGGACAGATGACTCCCTGGGTGATGGGGACCTGAACTATGCGAGAATACATATGAGGCCTGAGCCTTCAGAGGCTGTACTTGCGGTGTCTGCTACAATATGATATGCATCCCCTGCTAGTGGTTCGTGGTTCAAATTCATTGAAACGAGCAGACCATGTTTTTGCTTATTAACATAAAATTCACAGCTACTGAGGCTGGCCCAATAAATCTGTAATTGTCAGGTAGTTGGCAATAAAGAATTATTTTCAAAAAATTGCTATCTTAGTAATCTGGAGAAAATATTCTGAAACAAGAAAGCCAACAACTCACCTCGTTTATCATTTCTATCTCTCTAAACGTCAGTCTGTCCAACCAATCCACTTTTACCATGTGTCCTTGCCGATGAGCCTTGGTAAGCTGCAGAAACACACAACAGAGGGATGATGAAGGATGACAACCGAGTAAGTGACCCTTACCTGAAGCCAAAACTCCGTACTGCACAATATCCAAAGTTTTATGCCACAGTGGAGAAGAGCATAGAAACCTCACAGGATGAGTCACAGTGCACAGTACACCAAAGAGTTTAAACATTACCGTAAAGACAATACACTGGGGATGAAACATAACTGAATGCTGTGCTTACATTTGGGCTCCACTCCTAAGATGACTCATGACAAATATGCCAGTATCTCAAAATCTGAGAATATCCAAAACCCAAAACACTTCCAGGTTCCAAGGATCTGAGATGAGGGCTGCTGAACCTGTGGTATCAAATTCACTTACAAAGCACTGCTACACATCAGAGTCCACATATGATGCACTGCTACACATCAGAGTCCACATATGATGCACTGCTACACATCAGAGTCCACATATGATGCACTGCTACACATCAGAGTCCACATATGATGCACTGCTACACATCAGAGTCCACATATGATGCACTGCTACACATCAGAGTCCACATATGATGCACTGCTACACATCAGAGTCCACATATGATGCACTGCTACACATCAGAGTCCACATATGATGCACTGCTACACATCAGAGTCCACATATGATGCACTGCTACACATCAGAGTCCACATATGATGCACTGCTACACATCAGAGTCCACATATGATGCACTGCTACACATCAGAGTCCACATATGATGCACTGCTACACATCAGAGTCCACATATGATGCACTGCTACACATCAGAGTCCACATATGATGCACTGCTACACATCAGAGTCCACATATGATGCACTGCTACACATCAGAGTCCACATATGATGCACTGCTACACATCAGAGTCCACATATGATGCACTGCTACACATCAGAGTCCACATATGATGCACTGCTACACATCAGAGTCCACATATGATGCACTGCTACACATCAGAGTCCACATATGATGCACTGCTACACATCAGAGTCCACATATGATGCACTGCTACACATCAGAGTCCACATATGATGCACTGCTACACATCAGAGTCCACATATGATGCACTGCTACACATCAGAGTCCACATATGATGCACTGCTACACATCAGAGTCCACATATGATGCACTGCTACACATCAGAGTCCACATATGATGCACTGCTACACATCAGAGTCCACATATGATGCACTGCTACACATCAGAGTCCACATATGATGCACTGCTACACATCAGAGTCCACATATGATGCACTGCTACACATCAGAGTCCACATATGATGCACTGCTACACATCAGAGTCCACATATGATGCACTGCTACACATCAGAGTCCACATATGATGCACTGCTACACATCAGAGTCCACATATGATGCACTGCTACACATCAGAGTCCACATATGATGCACTGCTACACATCAGAGTCCACATATGATGCACTGCTACACATCAGAGTCCACATATGATGCACTGCTACACATCAGAGTCCACATATGATGCACTGCTACACATCAGAGTCCACATATGATGCACTGCTACACATCAGAGTCCACATATGATGCACTGCTACACATCAGAGTCCACATATGATGCACTGCTACACATCAGAGTCCACATATGATGCACTGCTACACATCAGAGTCCACATATGATGCACTCCTACACATCAGAGTCCACATATGATGCACTGCTACACATCAGTCTACATATGGAGCACTGTTACACATCAGAGTCCACATACAATGCATTCTTACATAGCAGGCACTACATGAGAATCATTTCTAACACAGTAGATTCTATATGCAACGCACTACCAGCTCTGCCCTGGGCAATGCACTGGAGAAGGGCAACATCTTCCCGAGTGTTCTGCAGTCTTGGCTTCTGATACTTATTCTGAATATCATAAATGGAATTGTAAAAACAGATTCTCTAAGGTGAAATAAACCTTTTCTCTATTCCTTCCATTTCTAGTCTAACAAACACTATGAAAACTGTGTTATATACAAGAAAGGCCACTCTTAGGAACCTAAAAATCAATACTGCAAGGTTTAAGCACACGCATAGCCACACTTGCTTTTATTTTAGGAACTAATGCTAAAAGACTTACATTTCTAGCACTGTTGTTGTTAGATCTGCTGAGATCATACCAATCTTGCCCTACTTTCATAAATTATATCATACTGGCTTTTCAGTTCCATAGAGAATTTGAGAAATGTTGCAAAGTCCTCAAAATAGAACTGGCTTTGGCATACAAAGGTGTAATTTTCTGCTCTCTCTCTGACCAGCAGGCCTCTCTTTCCAGGATAAGTGGATCGTGCCCTCCACGCCTTGACTCCCCCAGCCTCATTCACCCTCCCATCTCACCCGCCTGTCTCTCCTCCTAGCCTGGGTCCTGTCCCATTCCTACTCTTGGTGCCCCAGATACCTGGGGAACCACCACTGCTGCCTGATCATTTGCATCCAGACCAACTCAGTACCTTCTTGGGACCCCAGGAGCACTCTGGACCTGGCCCCACCCTCACCTCCATCTACTTCCCTGGGCCTGCATGACCAGCCAGCCTCTTTCCTGGACTCTGGGGCTGACCCTTCCTCTTCCTGATCCTTTGCAAACAGACCTAGCCAGCTCCTCAGTGCAGTACCCAGGAGCCCTTGGGGCCACACTGCCCCCATTTGCCTTTGCATCTCTGGGTGGCAAAGCCACCAGCTGCCCTAGACCAGCATCTTTCCTGGGCCCAGCACCCAGGCCAGTCCAACCCCAAAATTCCTGAGGAAAAATCTTTCCTAGAGGGATCCAGACCTTAGGAGAAAGCCTGAGAGCATCTGATCCTCATCTGACTTGGGCCTCTGTGGGAACTCTTAAAAGCAATCTGGCCACTCCAATACAAAATCAAAAGAGAGACCCAGAAGCTTAGAGGAACCAGCTTTTCTTGCCCAAAAAGTAAACCACAAAGACACATAAAGTTCACAAAAAGGAGCAGACCTAAACTTGAAGGCTTGAGTCTCACTCAAGAATCAAAAACCACAAAAGAAATTCACATGTCAAAATCACAGAGAAAAAATCATATGAAAAACCAAAATAACATATCCCCACCAAATACCAATAGTCCCCTAGAGGAGTACAATGAGAACCCCCTGGAGATAATGCAGGACATGGAACTCAAAAGAACAATTACAAA